AGAAGGTACCAAGTGAAATTAGGTTGAAAAGTACAACTTTATTGGACATAGGGTAAATAGATATTGGATTAGGTTCAAATACCCAAGCCCATTACTTTCGGACCCATTGAAACGGATCCGGGGCATCAGTCTTGAGAAAATCAGGTCTATTAAGCAACTCATTTACAATCAATTTTTCAGCGAATCCTCGAGCGCCATGACCTATCGAGAGGGAACGTGACCAATGATACCCCAAACTACATTTTCTTTTTCTCATCGGTCTTCTGAAATTATTTTTCAGTCCCTAAATATCATTAAACCCAAAGCTCTGCAAGAGATACAAGCAGGGCTACTAAAATTCACACATTTTGGAGAAGAGGAGAGGAGCAAGAAAGAAGGAAGAAGAGTGAAGGTTGTGTGGGAAAACCCTAGAAAGTTAAAGGCTTGAGATTTTTGCTCCAACAATGAGTCCTATTCCGAATTTGGAGCAACACTCTCGTCACCTCATGGAACCTGACCTCCGTATTCCCTTCCCTCTCTTCATATTCTTTCTCTGTTTGCGAAGATACCATCTTTGCTGTAATTTTGATTTATTTATTTTTGTTTTGTATTTTTTTTGACATAATGTCATAAAATAATCTTAGTGTCACATTTATTTGTATTATTTTTTTTTTGAAACATTTGATTCCTTAACGTTTCATTTTGATTCAAAAGTCATTTGTTGGATGTAAATTATTAATAAATTGAAAATGAAAAAATAACCTCAGTGACCAAAAATGCCTTATAATATACGATTTTCACTAACTTTTTTTGTATTTGCCAAAATGACAAACTAAATCGCAATGCGATCGATAATTCGTAACGCGATCTCCGGTATCGCAAATCAGTTTCCAGATTCGCAACGCGATTCTGACTATCACATTGCGATTTTCCAAATTCGCATTGCGATTTTCCAAATTCGCGTTGCGATTTTTAATTCGCAATGCGAATACGTAAATCGCAATGCGAATACGTAAATCGCAATGCGAATCTGACTATCGCAACGCGATTATGACTATCGCAACGAGATTCTGACTATCGCAACGAGATTCTGACTATCGCAACGCGATTCTGACAATCGCAATACTGAATTTCAAATTCGCAACTCGATTTCTAAATTCGCAACAGGTTTTAGTTTCGCAACACAAATGTTTTGGGTATATAACTACGCAGCAGCAGCAACTCATAACCTAAATCCCTAAATCGCAACTCATTCCATCTCCATCTATCACTCTCTCCGGCGACATCCGTTCCTATATCCAACGACATTCCATCAGTAAATAAACAGACACGATATTAAACAGTGAAAATAAAGACAAATATATTTTAAACTTGCACGGTATTCACCCAAGTTATTATTATATCATTGTTCACAAAATGCATCAGATAACATTCCAGAAGTAAGCACTTATATAAACATTTAAAAGGACAACATATAGGTTTAGTGCAGGTTTAATGACAATATAAAGAGTAGTAGTTTATTCTTGAAACTTAAATTTTCAACACTGTGAAATTAGTATTTGTATTTTGGTTGAAGTAATGCAATTCATTCAAGTTTCAATTTGCAGAAGAATAATAGAATCGGAAACTTAAAATCGCAACGCGAAAATGACTATCGCAACGTGAAAATGACTATCGCAACGCGAAAATGACTATCGCAATGCGAATTTGACTATCGCAACGAGAGAATCGCAATGCGATTTTCATTTCGCATTGCGATTCTTTCGTTGCGATAGTCAAATTCACATTGCGATAGTCATTTTCGCATTGCGATATTTATTTTCGCGTGCGATTTTGTTGTTGCAATTTTCATTTCGCATTGCGATTCTCTCGTTACGATAGTCATTTTCGCATTGCGATAGTAAACTATTCTTCTTCTACAAATTGAAACTTGAATGGATTGCATTACTTCAACCAAAAGACAACCAAAAACAAATACTAACTTCACAGGGTTAAAGAATAAACAGTTAAACAATATTGGCAGCAACCGAATGAATTTACTAAGCAATCTAAGTGAAATTACGAGTAAATTTATCATCAAGTTAAATATGAAAAATATTAAACTTACCTCGTTGCGTAGAGTATAAACCTCGTTCTGCAACGATGCTACAATCTCACGTAGAGCTGCTACCTCACCACGTAAAGTAGACACCTCAACACGCCATGCACCATTATCATCGCGTAAAGTACCGACCTCCTCACGCAAGGCATTGACCTCATTACGTAACTCCCCTAACTCATCCCGTGGAGGTGGAGAACAGGGAGATAAACGTCGTGGCATCTTTGCCGGTCGCCTATCATGAGGTGATGGTAGAGAAGAGGCTCGATAATGTGACAGAATAGATGATGACTCTCGTTGTGGAGGTGTATATTCGGGTCGATCAGGTGATGGCTCTGGGTGAGGTGATGGTGCTCATCATCCGTGCCATCAAAAAAACGCTTACTAGCTTGCCACCAATCAGTGGCAAGCTCAGCTTCCGTGGGTGTTAGCCTCTGTAATGGAGTGTTGACCTCTTAACAATATAAAAGCTCAAACAAAGTTAAACGTATACTAGTAATAACTTGTTTATAAACATATGGTAGTATTTGTGTTAACTTACATTATTTATTATAGTATACGATAGTAAATCTTCCCATTGCTGCAAGAACCGTTTCCTCTTCCAGGAAATATCCCTAGGAATATCATTAGAAGTTTTTAATGCATATGTCTGCATGGCGGGAAAGGCCTCAAATATCCAAATCTATAAACAATATAATAACAAACATTAGTAATTGTTAAAGAATTAATTATAATTTTGGAAACATTATATAAAAATTATTACCTTAAAGGCCCAAATAAAGCCTGACAAAGTGTATTTGGAACCATCGCCACGCAAACTTTTTCGATCATCAAAGGCAGACGACAACTTATTCCATGTAGCTTTCCATAGATACGAACCCCATGGAAACAGGTTCCATGCATTTAGGTCCTCTACCAATTTAATTAGATCATTAGGAATAGGTTGTCGGGCCTCTCTGCCTAAAAAGTCGGCTTGCAAAAGTATTAGAAGGCATACTCGGACAACATCGACGTCATCCATCCGAGTAAAACCATCTTTTTTATTTAATAATCTCGTCAAGTCTTCCACGTGTAAATTTGACTTATCCGTTGACAGCTCAGGAAAAACCCGGGAAAACCATGATAGGCGGGTAATACGTCTAGTGTACCGATCTACATCATCGTGTCCGAAGCGTAGACTGGTGATTAAGCAAAACTCCTCCCGCCCAAAACACGTATACGCCGGTGGAAAATCAAATCATATCTCTTCATCACGACTTTGTATAGTCTCAGGTAGATCGCTAGTCATGGTTTGAAGAAACAGATGGGTCAACATAGCATCTATACCCGGATGTTGTACTTTCAGCCATGGCCCGAAGCAAGTATCCTCAAATATTTTTCTTTGTACAGGTGAAAGCTTCGACGCAATTGTTTTGGCCAGACTTACTTTATTTCTTAAGGTCAATTGAGCCAAATAAAAGTTCTGCAAAAACAATAAACATACCAAGTTAGATATACAAAAACTACACTGTGAAGATATAACAAGAACAATAAACATAAAGAGTAGTAGTTTATTCTTCAAACTTAAATTTACAACACTGTGAATTTAATATTTGTCTTTGTTTTTTGGTTGAAGTAATGCAATTCATTCAAGTTTCAATTTGCAGAAGAAGAATAGTTTCTGAAACTTAAAATCGCAACACGAAAATGAAAATCGCAACACGAAAATGACTATCGCAACGCGAATTTGACTATCGTATCGCAAGAATCGCAACTCGAAATGAAAATCGCAACACGAAAATGACTATCGCAACGCGAATTTGACTATCGCAACGCAATAATCGCAACGCGAAATGAAAATCGTAACGACAGAATCGCATTGCGATAGTCATTCTCGGTTTCAAATACTAAAATTGAAAGAAACTTGAATGGATTGCATTACTTCAACCAAAAGACAAAACAAAGACAAATACTAACTTCACAGGGTTAAAGACTAAACAATTTAGCAGTATTGGCAGCAATCGAATGAATTTAATAAGCAATCTAAGTGAAATGGTTAATCTATTATTGAAAACACCAGTAAACTTATCATCAATTTTAATATGAAAAACCTAATAATAATGCAAAAATTTCAAAATAAAAATAATTAAAAAAACTAACCCTCGGTGGTTGATTTGGTTGATTTTCCATTTCTTACCGAGAATGATTTCGTCGGAGATGGAGACTGATATCGTCGGAGATGGGACTGATTTCGTCGGAGATGGGGACGGATGTCGCTTTAGAGAGTGAGAGATGGAGATGAGACTGAGTTGTGATTTAGGGTTTTAGGTTATGAGTTGCGATTACGGGATATATTGTGGACGGTTCAGTGTTCCGATATATTAATATATTCGTGTTTGGAATTTGAAAAAAAAAATACGCGTTGCGATACGAATGGCGCTATGTAAATCGCATTGAGATAGTCAGATTCGCGTTGCGATCTACGTATTCGCATTGCGAATTAGGAAAATCGCAACGCGAATTTGGAAAATCGCAATGCGATAGTCAGAATCGCGTTGCGAATCTTGAAACTGATTTGCAATACCGGAGATCGCGTTGCGAATTATCGATCGCATTGCGATTTAGTTGGTCATTTTGGCAAATCTAAAAAAAATTGTTAAAATCGTATATTATAAGGTATTTTTGGTCAATGAAATTATTTTCTTATTAAAAATCAATGCTTCCATGATTAAGCAATCACATATAGACATAAATGATGATGTAGTGTATTACATCACTAATGTATACTGACATAAAATTAATATGTCAGATTTTTATTAAAAATTTAATATTTTTTAAATTTTGTACAGTAAGAGAGCAACACGTGTCACTCTATTAGTGCGAATTTACCTTTCCGTCCATCTACCTTATCCCTGATTTTCTCTTCGGTCCTAACTTTCTTGCTCCTCTCCTTCGTTTCCCTCACTTTTGAAACACCTAATTTCCTCTCTAACTCCTTCTCTCTCTGAACCACACTGCTCGTATGTTCCTCCCAGTTTAGCCTATGGAATAAACTTTCCGTTTAGAGAATCAACGAAAAATCGTAGCTCTATTCTTCAACCTCAGCCTGAGCTACCCACGTTGTCCCCATCTCCTCCACCTCTAGCTCCTCAAGTTACTGTTGAAGAAGCCAAAGCAAGCAACCCCCGAGCCAGTCAAGCAGCTCCTCAAGTTAACGACAAATCAAGCAATTCTCAAAGCAACGGAGCTGGCAAGTAAGATTCACATAGTGGACTTTGGGATTGTTCAAGGAGTTCAATGGTCTGCGCGCTCTTTTGCAAGCCTTAGCGACCAAGTCAGCTGGAAAATCGATCAGGATTCGTATTTTCGGTATACCTGCCCCTATTTTGGGATCATCTTCGGCTCTTTCCCTTTTTGCTACTGGTAGCCATCTACGTAACTTTGCGAAGCTTCTAGATTTGAATTTCGAATTCGAACCGATTCGAACTCCACGAGGTGAGGTACTGGCTGTAAATTTCATGTTTCAATTGTATAATTCGTTAGATGTTACTTCGGTCGTTGTAGATGAAACTCTCCGTTTGGCTAAATCTTTAAACCCCAAAGTCGTGACATTGGGTGAGTACGAAGCGAGGTTAAATCGAGTTGGGTTCCCGAACGGTTAAAGAATGCTCTACGATATTACTCGATTGTGTTCGAATCATTGGAACCGAACTATACAATTTAAACTCGCGAATCACCCGAGAGAATACAAGTTGAAAGACTGTTACTGGGTCGGAAAATAGCGGGGATTATTGGACCGGACGAAGCTGGAAACCAATGGGAGTGGATGGAAGATGAAGAGCAATGGAAGGGTTTAATGGAAAGTGCTGGTTTTGCAGAGGTAACCCTTAGCCACTACGCGATATAGTCAAGCAAAAATTCTACTCTGGAATTATAATTACAGCTCCTCGTATTCGCTAATTGAATCCCAACATGGGTTTATGTCATTAGCTTGGAAAGAGGTGCCCCTACTCACAGTTTCGTCCAGGCGTTGATGATGATTTCAAAGGCCATCAATGTTGTGAATTTTTCCACCTGGTTATTTTTCTCTCCTTTAACACTTTCTGATATATTATCTTTTTTAACAGTTTCAGCATTACACGAATTGTAATATAAATTCGTGGGGATTATACATAACATTTCCAAATCCTGAATAATTCCAGGATCTGGTGGACGGAGGACGGTAGCCTGGTTAGCAGCAGAGGAAATCATTTGGTTAGTGGCAAAGAATATACAACCCTTATTATGCAAATCCTTTGTTTTTTTATTATGAAATTCAGACTGAAGAATCTATTAAGTATAATCTGTTTCATTAATTACTCGAGTAAGTAGCTTAGTATGGTGGCAAAACAAGGAGCAATTCACTTGAGAGACCCAAGTTTGAGTCCCTTTCATGCATTTCACCATTTTCATTGTGCACCAATCAGAGAGTTACACGTGTTACTCTCTTATTGGTGCGAATTAATAATATAAAATATAAATAATAATTTTAAAAAATGATGTGGCAGCGCCACGTCAGCAATCTCGATGACCTGGACATCCACGTAAACTTTCTCCTCCACACGTGCACGCTTCATCAGCACCCGGCATAGACTGTCAGTTGACTGACGGTTTTCATTTAGCGTGGGTTATTTTTGACCAAAAAATAAACGTTCAATGCCCAAATGTTCAAAAAAAAAAAACAATAACGGCAAATGTGACACCACTGTCAAACGTTAATGTTATTTTGTTGCATTATGCTTTTTTTATTTTTTGGAAAACATCAATTCAGACGAGGTTATAAATGGCTAATGGAGGTTAGAGACAGTTTGGAGATAGCTCACTCTTCTGAGTACTTGAATTTCCTCAAACACTACTTCCGAGCCTTCTCAGTCATCCTTCTACAGATTACAAAGCCTCAATTCTCTGACAATCTCGAGCACAAAGTGCGGAATGTTGTGGTGGAAATTCTCAATAGGCTTCCTCACAGTGAAGTTCTTCGACCGTTTGTTCAAGACCTATTAAAAGTAGCCATGCAAGTTCTAACTACTGATAATGAAGAAAATGGCTTAATTTGTATCTGAATCATCTTCGACCTTCTTAGGAATTTCCAGCCTACTTTAGAGAATGAGGTGCAACCTTTTTTAGATTTTGTGTGCAAGATTTACCAGAACTTTAGGTTGACAGTTAGCCATTTCTTTGATAATGCTGCTATGGGAATGGAAGTAGATGTCAAGCCTATGGATACGTCTTCTTCAGTGGATCAAGGGATCACTTCGAGTGGATATGCTGGGAACGGGCAGTTGAATCCCAGTACACGATCATTCAAGATAGTTACAGAGAGTCCACTTGTAGTTATGTTTCTGTTTCAATTGTATAGTCGACTTGTACAAACTAATATTCCTCATCTGTTACCGTCGATGGTTGCTGCAATATCTGTTCCAGCACCTGAAAAGGTTCCTCCCCATTTGAAGACTCATTTCATTGAGTTAAAAGGTGTACAGGTTAAGGTGTGTTTCTTTAGCTCACGGCTTCCATTCTCCATTGTTTCAATGGTTGTTTTGCCACATGATAGTATGCTTTGTATTATATAACTAGTTCTAGGAAATGGTCTTGGAGAGTATGATTGGGTTGCTTGAATCTTTTCCTGCCTAAGAGTGTGCACGATCTCTTTCTGAAATGCTGCTGAATGTCTCAGTTTAATAATGTTGTGTATAGAGGTGCTCTTGTTTTGAGTTTTTCCTTGAATACAATCAATTTTATGGAAGTAATTGAATTGAAAACTGAATTTTTCATGAGGTTTCTCTTGAGGATGTAACTTTTGAGAATCATTTAAAGGATTGAGCCTTGGAACTCTCTATGCTGGAAATATGTTGAATATGTTTCTTGTGCACATCCTCCCCAATTTTTATTTTTGATTGTATATTCAAATCCTGTCATTTGAGAGAGTAAACTTTGTTATTTTAGTTATTTGAAGCCTTTTAATTACTCTCTGGATCTGATCTATTTGTTTGCTTATTTTCTTTCTCCTCAATTGCAGACAGTTTCCTTTTTAACATGCCTTTTGAAGAGCTTTGCTGATTATATAAGACCACGTGAAGAAAGTATATGTAAAAGCATTGTCAATTTACTTGTTACATGTTCTGACTCGGTATCCATTAGAAAGGTGAGTTGTGCGTGAGATTTTATTTTTTCTTTTTGCTTTTGGTTCTGCTGGTTTTAAATGCTGATTGTGCTGAATACAGGTGTTGTTGGTAGCCTTGAAACACGTTTTGGGCACAGATTTCAAGAGGGGTTTGTTTCCTTTGATCGACACACTATTAGAAGAGGGGTAAAATTTTATCCTCCCCTTTTATCTACATTTTTTCGTCAAGATGTGTCAATAAACCATGATAAAGATCTTGTATTGTCAAACTATTGTAAAATTTTATCCTCCCCTTTTATCCAAACTGAATTTTGGAAATAGCATCAGTTTTTGTTTTGTTTCAAGAATGTCATTCACGCTCTCTTTTTGTTTGTTTGATTGTTTGTTACTATCTTTTCTCCATCTGAAAATTGTGATTTTTTTTCTGGCCATCAAACTTGTGATTTGTTTGGCTCATTTCACATTATTTACTTACATTCTCTTAATAAATCTAACAAATTTGCTATGAAATTAGGTTGCTTTAGTAATTGATCCCAAGGAAAAGGAAGGAAGTGCTATGTACAAACTGAAGATACTAGTTTTTTCATCCATTTGTTTTTATTTATATTTTTATTATTAGTTTTATTTATTATAAATATTATTATAATTATTTTATTTTATTAATTATTATTATTATTATTAATATTATAAATTTATATTACAGGCCCAAAATCGGAGCTCAATTACAACAGGAGACCCAAACCCAGAGGCCCAAAATCGAATCTGACCCAAAAAGCCCAATAGAACCCTAAACCTAATTAGGGTTTTCACATTTCTATTAGGGTTTCATCACCCTATCCTAGCCGTTTTCACTGTCTGCCGCCCCACGACGACGCTGCTGCTGCCACGCCTCAACCCTCGCCGAGCATTCCAGAAGCTAGCTGCCCCACCACATCAATGCTTTATGGTGAGTCACCACCATAGTCCGGTGACTCACCGAAAGTCACCAATGGAACCGGTCCGAAGGGCATATCTCTATGGCTATAAAAGCCATCGCACTGCAAAAGGAAAAAAGACAGAGCAAGAACGGAAGTGACGGAGCAACCATCGAGAAGGAAAACAGAAGAAGATACGAACACCAACAACAAATAAAACCACCAAATCCATAAAACAGAAAGAAAGAAAGGAGAGAGAGCTTACCGAGGAAACCACACGGTAACCGGAAACGTTACACGCTGACGAAACCTTCGAAATACCCGAAGGCATTTCTCTAGATCTACTCGATTAGGAGTTTTTTAGGGGAAACTAAGGCTGGATTCGGCTTTGGGGGGTTCAGGGTTTTATTTTGGGGTATTTATGTAAAATTCAACCACTGTGTATGGTGGCTGATGGCGGCGATCACCACTGGAGCACGGTGGCCGACGGCTGCCGGACTTCACTCCGGCGAGGAAATCTAGAGAGAAGCTAGAGAAATTGATATATCTCTCTCTTAGAGAGAGAATGAGAAAGAGAGAAATGAGAGAACCGACCATTCAGGCCGGTTAAATGGGTTTATATTCCCCTTCCCAAACGGCTTCGTATTGGGGAAGGGTATATACGCAATTTTATTAACGGACGAACTATTCCCGTAATCCTTGATGTTTTGTAAACTTTTATTTTAGTCACTACAGTATGTTTTCGTGCATTTTTAATTTTGTTTTATTTATATTTTAGTCACTATCTTATTTATATAATATTTAGGATAAATACCTATTTTAGTCCCTTATAATTTTATTAATTTTTATTTTAGTCATGAATAATTGATTAATGTCAAATTACACTGTTAATACTTAGTTTTCATAATATTTTGAACTAGAGCCTTTAATTTTAGTATATTATAATTTAATCACTCCTTTTAATAACTTTTAATTTTTACCATAAGTTTTACTATTTTTTATTTATTTATTCTTATAGTTTTAATTTTCTCTATTTTAGTCACTTTTTAATTACAATTTATTTTTATCTTTTTAAATTCAATATGTTTAATTTAATACTTTAAATATTATTTATTTTAGCATATAAAAATATATTTAATAATAATATTTATTTATTTTAAATATTAAGATAGGGTTGTCTTAAATTAACTAGAAGTCATATTTCGATATTTTTAAATAAATAAATATTGTATTTATAAAAACAAATATATAAATATATAGTTATTTTAGTTTTATTCAAATTATTATATTTTTCTTCATTGTATATTTATTTAATTTTAGTCATATAAATATATATACATATTTACTTCGTTTTTATTATTTTTGAGAAAAATTATTATATTAATATTTATTTATTTATTAATATTAAAGAAAAGGCAGACTTAAACAACTAGATGTCCTTTTTAATATATTTAAGTAAATAAATACTTTATTTATAATTTATAAAAATATTTAATATTTTTCTTTCTTATTATCCAATTGAATATAAAAGATCATAAATTAAATTTCTAGTCGAATTCTTAAATTCTATTATTAGAGACAATTTATAATCAACAAGGACCAATTTTGGGCGTTGTGGGGGTGCTAATCTTTCCCCAAATGTAATCGACCACGAATCCCTTTTTTATTATTAAAAAGAACGAATTTTTGGTAAACGCAGATGGCGACTCCAAAAACATTTCAATAAAAACTATTTATCCATATTATTTTTCCCGCCAAGTAAAAATTCGTGCCCGAGAGAAAACCGGTTACGACAGCTTGGCAACTCCGCTAGGGACCTGGTCAACCTAAGTCGATTATATATTGTCTCTATAATTATGAATTAAGAATCCAATTTTATTTAATTTACGATTCTCTTTACAACTCTGAGAGTTGACACAGAAGATGAAGGAAAAAGATAAAGGAAAAAGAACTCCATAACCATAAAGATTCCCTCACAAGGGAGAATGAGCAACATTGCCAACAACTCTGAGAGTTGACACAGAAGATGAAGGAAAAAGATAATGTCATGGAAGAAGCTACAGTCAAGACAAGCAATATGGCCCATAAGCTGATAGACTTAGCTGATTTTACAAGGAATTGAAGCAGATTGATAACTCAACTTTTGAGCATGAATGGAAACTAACTTGGCTTTAGAGAAGTTAGGAGGGGAAGTTATACTCTATATGTAAAGTTTTGTTGAAGTTAGGACTGAAAATTGTCCCCTACATGTAAAAGTTTTGTTTGATGCACCGAAACTTTTGTGTTCAATGAAACCTGTTTTAAGATGATCACTCTTGAGTAACACCTTTTTCATACATGCATTTGCATTTTACATCTTTGCATTTGCATCTTTGCATTTTTGCGTTTGTATTTACATTTTCATTTTTACATTTGCATATTTGCATAATTACATTTTGTTTTAAACTATTTTACATGCATTTAATCATGAAAACATGAGAATAATTCGTGGAGGATTCCATGACAGAATTTCTGAAATCAAATTGGAGCTAACTTAATCTTCCTAAAGAAAAATAAGAGCCATAAATGAAATTTTAGAAAAGGTTAGTAGAATCGAGAAACTGCAAGAGTAACTTATCAAGACTCAACAAGAAATGACTGATCATGCAAAAAAGTTTCAGGCTGATTCAAAAGAACAAATGACCACGTTAATGGACATGATGAATGACATGATCCATGGAGAGCCCTCTGTGAAGGCTGTGAATGAGGTTCTGAATGATAATGATGAGTTCGAAACAATATTGTCTGATGATCAAGAACCTATTAGGGAGAATGGTAATTCAAGACAGCTTCAAGATTTGGTCCCAAGTGGCAATTTAAGGAGTCTGGTGAATTCTACCCAATTATAGCTGAAATGAGCATCCAGAACCCCCACGATCACAGGAGAACATTTAGTCGTTCAGAACAATCAAGGAAAGTGAAAATCTCTCGAGCGAGAAAAAATCTGGAGGTGTTTCAAGAATCTATCTCAGATCTGTACCCTCATTTGGTTAAAGGTCAATATATTACACCAAGATGGTGAAAGTGTCACCAAAGCCTTATGCCCATTGCTATGATCAAAATAACTTTTGTAAATTTCACTTGGGAGTACCTGAGCATTCAACAGGGAATTGTTGGTCACTGTTAAAAGAAATAGAGACGCTCGTTGATAAGGGAGTCTTGACACAAGAAATGATCAAGAAATGAGGGGCAAATAAGGATGAAAATTCTGGGCCAAGTACACGCCCAACATTTGAGGAATGATAGAGCAAGCTAAATAAACAAGTGGAAGTTGTTATATACCACTGTAGTACTTTATATTTTTAGCATCTTGTTTGAACATGTTTTTTGTTCCTTTCTTCGTCCTTTTGTGCAATAAATAAATTTATGTTGCTTTTATGGTTATGAGCAAGGAATCAAATTTTAATCTTGAAGTTTTTGAGTATCAAGTAAATTAAATATTCTTTTTCAAGAATTATAGATATTTGGCAAGTGGTAAAATTATACATTCCATATCCCATCCAATGCCAATGCTAATTACTTGGCGGTTACCAAAACCAAATCCTGACACTACAATTATCTAAGACTCTGAAGTAATGTCTCTACTTGTTTTTGAGACACCGAATCCAGATGTTTACCTTTTTGGGTAGAGTTGATTGGTTTATAACATTCCACCGTATACACGACTTCAAAAGTCACACAGTTGTCCTTCCAAATACAAAACCATCATAAACCAAAAGACATTAAAAGAACCAAACTTTCAAATTATCCGTGAATCTTCCTGCAAGAAGAGACGAGATGAGTAATCATGGATCAACTTATCGAAGATAATTTCGAGTGATTGGGGCATACTCAAAGAAGAAGAAAAAAGATTGATTTAGATAAATATATCATGTATTAATTGCATTGTTTTCATGTAAATAAAGATTAATCTTGGATATTCATCCCCCTGATGATACATTTTTTTACAAAAATTTTTATATATGAGATGACGAACGACATTGTTTCATTTATCCTTTTAAATATATATATATATCATTTGTTGTCCCCATTTGAGCCTGAATTATTTTTTCTGATTCAACCCTAACCAAGGATCACCCTTCACATTAAGGGGCAAGGTGAAAGATATCTTCTCACAGGAATAAAGATTGTCAATCTAGTTTTATTACGAAGGCAAATCTTCATGAAATAAATAGAGTTTTGAACTACAAGGTCAAATACAAAGTGCTTGAAGATCAAATCCAGACAAGATGAAAGAATTTCTAAAATACAAGAGGAAAATGAGGTTCTCAAAGCAATTGAAGTCCTATACTCATTCATTAGAAAAAAAAGAGAAAAAAATTGAATCAAGATGGGTGACTCATTGAGGCTCAAGCTACAAGGTTGATCAAGTGCAATTAGTTCAAAGATTCATATTCAACAAGAAGAGCAAAAAAATGATGAAGATATGAGAAAATGGAAATGAACTCAAAAATTGACAATCTAGAAGGATCCAAAAGAAGAATGACAAATAGCGAAGCAGATCCAAGTCAAGTAATGCAAGATTGAAGGCGTTATAATGAATTGATCCTTGGTTTAATTACCCTTAAACACTTGTTTAGGCCTTTTTATCCCTTTCTTTCGTAACCATAAACCCTGGCCTACGTTACGTACCTAAAAAGTCCATTCTAATCATACGTGGATTTCTATGTGAAAGAGACTATCTTCTGATTTCATTCTGCTTCTCAGATTGATTTTTATTTGCAAAAATTGATTTTTAAAATCTTTAAAGCATGATATGAAAAATGAGAAGGGGGGTTCAAAATGTAAATTTTTAAATAACATCTTGGAACCAAAGAAGAATTCGAGTTGAAAACCTAAAAAGGCGGTTCGAATATCGAATGGTGCAATAATGACATAAGAGACGATCTTAAGCTCTTAATGAAGCACCACACATCTTGAGAGTCTGGGACCAAGAAGTATCTCTATGAGATGAATATAGCAACCATTTCTTCAAGTTAATGGACATTCAAAGAACATATATGCTGGATCAACCTGAAGAGACCTTACTTTACCAGAATCAACCTACACCTTAAATCAGTCAATAATTTTGACTCTTGCCATAGGATTATGATTTTTTGATTTAAAAGTGTAGTTGATTTATTTGATATTCATTAAACTCATTGTTTATGATTTGATTCTATTGTGAACCTGTAAGAAGCAGTACTTTACAAAATTATTTCATTCTTCGATAAGGAAAGGAAGAAAATATTTTCAAACAAGACAATCTCAAATGAAGAAGGTCTTTAAAGCAAATTGTTGCCTATTCTACCTCTATTGAAGAAAAAGAATGAGCCAGGCCAGAGTGAGGAAGCATTCTTGAAAGTAAGTGGTCCAAGAAGCCAGAAAGTCTGGAGAATTGAACTTGTAACGATCTCCTGTGACATTATTAGCAACTCATCAAGAAAGATTACCCTATTTAAAAGGGATACTTATCTCATGATGATGATGATAAGCATCACCAGACAAATTACTTTCCCTCATCCGCCAATCCATGTCCTCTAGCAGATCCTCTAATCACAGAGCCATAAGTCTCATTAGGTGTATTATGGGAATGAACAAGTCCACCACCTGCACTCTGGTTATACCGTGATGTTGGCTCAAGTCTTGATACATCATTGCTACTTTTTTCATGCTGATCATTTTCCTTGATAAGATTATATC